TACTACTACTACTACTACTACTACTACTACTACTACTACTACTACTACTACTACTATGATTACTACTACTACTACTACTACGAGTACTACTACTACTACTACTACTACTACTACTACTACGACTACTACGACTACTACTACAACGGCTACTACTACGACTACTACAACGACGACTACGACTACTACGACTACTACTACTACTAGTGCTACGACTACAACTAATACTACGACTGATGCTACTACTACTACTACTACTACTACTACTACTACTACGACTACTACTACTACTACTACTACGACTGCTAATACTACCACTGCTACTTCTGCTACTACTACTACTACTACTACTACCACTACTACTACTACTACTACTACTACTACTACTACTACTACTACTAGTACTGCTACTACCACGACTACTACTAAGAATGATAATACAAAACCTAACACGAAGACTGATACTGATCCGAATACGGATGCAAATGCGGACAACACAACTCCTACTCCGGCTACCCCTACTGTTCCGACCTCTACGACTGCTACCACTACTGCTTCTACTGCCACCACTACGACGACGACGACGACGACTACTACTACTACTACTACGACTACGACTACGACTACGACTACTACTACTACTACTACTACTACTACCACTACTACTACTACTACTGCTACTACTACTACTACTACTACTGCTACTATGGCTACTGCGGCTCCTACCACTACTACTACTACTACTACTACTGCTACTACTACAACAACTACTACTACTACTACTACTACGACGACTACTACTACTACTATTACTACTACGAGTACTTCTATTATTACTACTACTACGACTACTACTACTACGACTACTACTACTACTACTACTACTACTACTACTACTGCGACTACTGAACAATACTATAGTACTAGTACTAGTACTAGTACTAGTACTATTACTATACTAGTACTACTGTACTATTACTGCTACTACTACTTACTACTACGACTACTACTACTACTACTACGACCCACGACTACTACTATTACTACTAGTACTACTACTACGACTACTACTACGACTACTATTACTACTAATACGACTGCTACTACTACTATTACTACTACTGCTACTACTGCTACTACCACTACTACTACTACTACTACTACTACTACCACTACTACTACGACTGCTACTACTACTACTACTGCTACTAGTATGACTACTACTACTACTACTACTACTACTACTACTACTACTACTAACTACTACTACTACTACTACTATTACTACTACTACTACTACTACTACTACTACTACTACTACTACTACTACTACTACTAACTACTACTACTACTACTGTACTAATACTACTACTACTACTACTACTACTACTACTACTACTACTACTACTACTACTACTACTACTACTACTACTAACTACTACGACTACGACTACTACTACTACTAACTACTACTACTACTACTACTACTACTACTACTACTACTACTACTACTACTACTACTACTACTACTACTACTACTACTACTACTACTACTACTACTACTACTACTACTACTACTACTACTACTACTACTACTACTACTACTACTACTGCACTACGATTACCATTACTGCTACACGCATGCGGGCTGCGCCACTGGGACCTTCGGTTGTGCCCCTTGTGGGGCCACGAAACATGGGGCGGCGCCGCCATGCGGACTGCGCCAGTGGGACCTTAGGTGGAAAACCCTAAGAGGCCACGGAACGTGTGAGGGGTGTCCCAAAATCGGGCGGCGCCGCCATGCGGATTGCCCACTGGGACCTTCGGTGGAGCTCCCTATGGGGCCACGAAGCGTGTGAGGGGTGTGCCAACATGGGGCGTCGCCGCCATGCGGCCTGCGTCACTGGGACCTTAGGTGGCGCTCCCTATGGTGCCGCGAAACGTGTGAGGGGTGTTCCAAGATAGGGCGTCGCCGCCACGCGGACTGCGCCGCTGGGACCTTGGGGTGGAGCTCCCTATGAGGCCACGAAGCGTGTGAGGGGCGCGCCAAAATAGGGCGGCGCCGCCTTGCGGACTGCGCCCTTGGGACCTGAGTTGGAGCTTCTGGGGCCACGAAACGTGTGAGGAGTGTGCCCAAATGGGGCGGCGCCGCCATGCGGTCTGCGCCAGTGGGTTCTCAGGTGGAACTCCTTATGGGGCCATGAAACGTGTGAGGGGCGTGCTGAAATGGGGCGTCGCCGCCATGCGGCCTGCGCCACTGGGACATTAGGTGGAGCTCCCTATGGGGCCACGAAACGTGCGAGTGGCGTGCCAAAATGTGGCGACGCCGCCATGCGGACTGCGCCGCTGGGACCTTGGGTGGAGCTCCATATGAGGCCACGAAACGTGTAAGGGTGTGACGAAGACGATGGCGACGATGGTGATGATGACGGTGATGGTGGTGATGGCGGCCATGATGGTGATGATGCTGACGATGACGGCCATGATGTTGTTGATGATTCTG